CAGGGTCACCTAATGCCACTGCTCCTTCCTCATTGGCTGTGCTGAGCTGGCTCAAGATCACACAGTTCTGCAGCTCCAGTGCCCCATTACCCTGCCCCTCCAAAGGTCCAGCTCCACAGTGCTGGGCACACAGGAGGAATTCAGTTTCCAGCATCCCTTGTGGTGCAAGAAGGTGTTGAGCATTGTAGTGAAGTCTGACCACCTCACTTCTACACTCATGCCATGGTGAGACTTCAAGCTGAAGTCTTTCTTTGAGGCACTCAGAGCTCCAGGACAGGCATTGCTAATTGCTCCGTGATCCAAGCAGCAAAGTCTCCATGACTTGGTACGGCCAAGACCAGCAAGCTCAAAGGATCTTTTTGGCTCTACAACCTTCCACACCAGTTCCAACAAGCAACTCTTGAATTCCCACAGCACCAGATCCTCTAGCAGAGCCATGAGGAAGGACAGGAAAACCTGAACTACTCTTAGCTACCTCCCAGACATCTCCAAGGGCATCCTTTCAATCTCGGTGAGGGAAAAGCAAGGGAGCCTTCGGGTTTGGCCCTTCCTAACTTCCACAGGCACCACCGAAAACCCCTTCATTCTGAGGCCAACTAGGGAAAGCTCTGCTCAGCAACTCCTCAGATTAGCTGAGGAGGAAAACTCATTTCTGAAGCCACAATAAAGAATGCCTGCCTGCTAAAACTCAGAAACTAAGTCTTAGAGGTTTCTTTGAGAGCCTGAATTTTAGGCATCAGCTGAGTCTCATTTACTACCCCAGTTACACAGCCAGGTGGCAGGTGGAAGAAGTTACCCCCATCACAGGACTAACTGGGACGTTGATGCTCAGACTCATGTCTAAGAAACTTAGATTTTAAAGAGCAAGAAAGAAGAAGAAAGCTCCTTCAGAGGGTATTCACAGGCACCAGAACACAAGGAGACAATGGGGAGATTCCCATATCCCTCCCCCGTCAGTGCAACTCAGTGATAGACCAAGAGGAGGTCTGGGAACACACCAGTTCCCAGAACCTCTGCGCGCATGGTGACTCCAGGGTGTCTGCTCAGCCAACAATCTGTCACTGACAGAAAGCTGCATCTAACACTGAGGAGACTTCTAGGATGCATGAAAACAGCTCTGAGGCACCATCCTGCTTCAGCCAGGCCAAGTGCAGAAGGATTAGCGAGTGGTGACTGTAAGCACTACAGCCTCACATTCTTCATAGTGGAGAGCAGTGTCACAGAGATATTTGAATCCAGAACTTACATTAATCTTGCTTGTTTCCAGCCAGAGAGCTGGAATCCACACATGCACGAGGTATCTAGGTCCACTCAAGCAGAGATTACAGAAGTCAAGAGATGCCTGGCACCAGTCCATGAAGTGCTACAGACATCCAGCACGTAACCTGCTCACCAGCAGCATTCCCAGGCGATTCTGGCAGCCCTGGTGCACAACAGCCAAGGAAAACCAGGGATGAAGGACTTGCTACAGAGGGGGTTGTCCGGGAGCCAAGAGCTTCTGCCTCCCCAACAGGGCACTTTCTGACTCTAACAGGGAACACTGCAGCCTTGCCAGGGACCAACAGGGAAGATCATGGAATGGTTAGGGCTGAAAGAGGCCTTAGAGACCATCTTGTTACAACTCCCAGCTATGGGCAGGGACACCTTCCACTAGACCAGGTTGCTCCAAACCCCATCCAGTCTGGCCTTGAACACTTCCAGGGATGGGGCAGCCACAGCTTCTCTGGGCAACCTGTGCCAGGGCCTCACCCCCTCACAAAGAAGGATTTCTTCCTAAGACAATCCTCTCCAAGTAGAATTTAGCCAGGTAACTTCTCCTGGTCCTCATCTGGTCTCTGCTCACATTACACAACCTCACGTTTGATGCTTTCTACCTTTAGCAGTCCAGGACACCCAAGCTCTACAACAACAGCAGCAGCCACCACTCACGGAGCTGCGATCAGGCCCTTGAGACCAGCCAAGAGGGCACATGGGATAACCACAGACTTCAGCTGCCTGGTTTGGGCATCTAGACAGCTAGCTCCAGATTTCTCACACTCCCTCTGGGCCTACAGCCTCCCAGGTACCTCCTAGGAGAGCAAGGATGAAGTTCCAGAGTAGAACCAACACTTCTGCATCAGGCACCCAAAGGAGCAGGGTGAACACACCTTATTGCAATATGGCCATGGACACAACACACAGCATTCACAGGAAGCAAGAAAGCTCCTCCAGCTGCGAGAAAAAGCTCTGCCTGCCACAGGGGTGGGAGTGCAGCACCCAGGCAGCTGCCCATCTCACAGCACCCCTCAGGAGCACTGGGATAGATGCTGTCACGCAGATTGGCGGCTGCCTGGAAAATTAAACAGAAGATAGCAGCAAGTGGGGAGGGACCACGTTTGGGGAGGTGTCTGGTGAGGAACAGCAGGGACTGACATTAGGCCCTGTTTGTTTAACATTCCCGTTAACGACCTCGAGAGGAGAGAGAGGCATTCCTGTCCTCCGCATGTCACCGGCCAGGAAGCGGCTGCAAGATCCAGGGGCTCGCAGATAAGATAAAGGGAAAGGCTGAATTTGGGAGCTTCGCCTCGCCATATCTGGGGCACAGGGAGCCCTTCTGCCAAGGCTCGGGGAGGTGGCGAAGGAGGCACACGGCAGGGGGGACGGAGGAGTGTCCACAGCGCCAGGATCTGGCAGTGTTATCCATGCAGTGTGGGAAAATATTCCAGCACACCCTCCTGCGTATAGTGGGACTGAAGGATTCCGCTTTACTCTAAACGTATTTATCACTTTGTATCAAGGGGAGCTCTGGACAAGAATTTGGGCCCCTAGACCATGCTTGGATGATGAACACAAGGTCACTCCTTGTGCCTCCATTAGCTTCTGCAGTGAGGAATAGCTCCTGGTCAGCCAGAAGGAGCTACCAGAAAAACAAGCGTTCAGAGGGCTCCTGTAGGCTCAGAGCAGCCACCATGAAGCCCAAGCTGTGCTCATCACCCACAGCATTTTTTATGGTGGATCCTGGCAGAGAGAGGGCTTTACAACAGCAAGTCCACCAGGGACTGGGACATATCCCCTCCCCAGTCCCAACGTACCACCTCCCAGGCACCCTCAGCCACCTCTAGGGTGGTGGGTCCTTTGCTGCAGCTGTGGGTGCAGGGTGACAGACACACCCAGTGAGGCCACAGACCATCCAGCAGGGTGGATGGGACCGTCCCCCTCCCCACAAACATGCAGAGGCAGCACAATGGAGAGCAGGAGCCACTTCCGTTCAACCCCCACCATTCCCTAGAGATGCCATCTTTAACTCGGTTTTCCAGTCACCGAGCACCATTCCTGGGAGGACCAGCCTCTCCAAAGAGCAAGGATTTCTAGGCTCCCAAAATGCTGCAGCACCTGCTTTGCCAAACCACCGCCCAGCATTGGGGAATGGACCAGCTTTGCCCCAGCACCATGAACTCACCCTACCACCACCCATGAGGCACCAGCCTAGCTGGAGCAATGCCATGGGATGGGATGCCTCAAGCGGCAGCAACCTCGGGGGACTTTGCAGGCCAGTGAATAATTGGATCAAGGAGCCGCATTGAGTCTTCTGCGCACGCGTTCACAGCCCGTGAAACCCCGTTTCTGAGCCTCCCCACACCAGGAGTGGCACAGGGCCCCAGATGCTCCGGCTCTCAACCCACCCACACCAGTGCCACCCAGTGAGGCTGGGACATCCCACCAGCAGCATCACATTCACCTCCCATCGCAGCAGCGCATCACCTAAGCCCTGCTCCACACTGGGGACTGAATTGCTATGGCCACCACCTGCCAATCCATTCCACCCCATTACCCGGGTCCCCCTTGCTGGGATTGAAGCTCAGGGGACACGATGGCCCCAAGTCAGCTGGCACTCAGGGCCAGTCCGGCCCCAGTGGGTGGTGGAGCAAGCCAGGCGCCATGTTGCGGCGGCGCGAGCGCACGGAGGAAAGCGAGGGGAGGGGACTGAGCACCTCCCTGGTCCTGAGGGCCGGGCACGGAGGACTGCAGCAAAACATTACCGATACCAGGCATTTTCCAGAGCCCTCTCCAAGATGGAGGGCAGCTGGAAACCCACTGCACCAACACTCGCTCAAGGGGTGCAGTGATGACAGCAGCCAGTGGCTCTGACAGCCAAAGGGCAAACATGGAGGGTTGCAAGCTCAGCTCTTGCATGTGGCTATAGACAACTAACCCCTGTTAGCCTTCCCAGCACTGAGTCCAGCAGCATCTAGGCTCTGGCTTGTAATGGCATCCAGGGGAAAGGGACCACTGGCAGGGCAGCTCACAGCCCTCCAGCCCCAGCCAGGCTGCCAGCACACAGGCAAGGACTCCATCACTATCGTCCAACTGCGTCCCTTGCAGCCCACACGGGCAGAACAGTGCTAGATCCAGAAGCTGCAGGGACTTGGGGAGAGGGTTCACTGGAGTGAGCGGGGACCTTCCAGCCCCCTGCCCTGCAGGGCTACAGGAACACGGGGCTGAGCAAGGAACTCGCCCCACCCGGGTCCGGCCCCTCCTCGGGACGGCCCGGGGGCTCCAGCGCCGACTTCCCGACACCTCTGCACTCCGGCTCCCACAGCCCGGCCTCGGCTCCTCAGCCCAGGGCATCCTCGGCATCCACGCTCCAGTCCTCCGACGGCCCGGGAGTCCAGCCCCGGCGTCGAGTCCTCTGTTCCGCGATCATGGCGCTGCGCTCCTTCCCGGCTTCCCCGACGCCCCAGTGCCGCTTCTCTGGTCCCCGACGCCGCCGCGCTCCATCCCCGACACCCCAGTCCCGGTTACCCGACGGCGCCGCGTTCCATCCCCCGTCCCCCAACACCCCGGCGCTCCACCCCCGCCGCCCCATCCTGCTCCCGCTGCCGCTCCCGGTTCTCTGCCGCCGTCGCGCCCCAGCTCCGTTGACCCGCTCCGTCCCCAGTCCCGGCGGCCCCGGTGCCACAGTGCCGACGCCGCTCCCGTTTTCCCAGCGCTCCATCCCCGACCCACCGTCCCGTCCCCACCTCCTCCTCGACGTTGCCGCCGCTGTTGGTGTGCTCGGTGTCCTTGTTGAGGTTGCTCATGGTGGGGTGCCGGGGCAGGGGGTGGTGCCGGCTGCTCCGGAGCTCCGCAGGGCCGAGCCGGGGTGCCGGTGAGGTGCCGGTGAGGTGCCGGTGCGCGGGGGCGGTGCGGGGCGGTGCGGCGCTGCCCTCCCGGTTCACATGCGGCGTCCCGGGACGGCGCCGCTGTTAACGGCCGGGCCGGGCCGGGCTGGGCTGGGCCGGGCCGGGCGGAGCGGGGCCGAGCGGAGCGCAACGAGCCGCAGCTGCGGGGCCGACGCGCCCCAGCCCCCGCCGCCGCTCCCGCCGCTCCCGGTGCCGCCGCCGCGCACCGAGCAGCGGGACCGGGACCCGCCCGCCTGCCCCGCCCGGGGCCGCCCCCGGCCGCCGCCGCCGCCAATCCCGGCCCGGCCCGGCCCGGCCCCCCCGGGGCCGCGGGGAGTTTTTTTTTTTGTTGTTGGGCTCGAGTTATTTTAATTATTTTTTTTCCCCTCCTTTCCACGAAAAACTGTCTCAACTTTGATGAACTTTCTGGTTTCGACTTTCTTAAAGGGCCCGCCGGGCTCTGAGCTCGCGGCGGGGCCAGGCCGCTCCTCCCGGCCATCCCCGGGTCGGGGGAATGTGGCTGAGCCCCGCGGGGGTCCGAAAGCCCCGAGGCGGCATCTTTGTGACACCCCGATGAGAGCTCCGAGCCCCATGAACAGCAGCCCTGGGAGCTCAGGATGGGGGTCCCGTAACTCCAGGACAGCAGCCCTGAGCTCCCGGGTAGTAGCCCCAAAGTCCCCCCATAGCAGCCCCCAGTACCCTGGGAACAGCAGCCCAGTTCCTTCTGCCAGGGCAGCCCCACATCCATCCCCACAGACATCGGTGGGTGCCCGGAGCAGAGCCCTGTTCTTAGGCTTGGGAGGAGGAGCAGGATTCAGGCATAGAATCATGGAATCTCAGAATGGTTTGGGTTGGAAGGTACCTTAAAGATCACCTCATTCCAATCCCCAGCCATGGGCAGGGACACCTTCCACTATCACAGGTTGCTCCAAGTCCCATTCAACTTGGCCTTGAACACTTCCAAGGATGGGGCAGTCACAGCTTTTCTGGGCAACCTACACCAGGGCCTCACCATCCTCACTATCCACCTCCAACCAGCCTTATCCTAAAGGACAGCCCATGGTTGGGTAACATGAGCAGAAAATAGAATACATGGCCCATTCCTGCACTCTGCATCCCCCACCTTGGTCCCTGTGTGAGGCAAAGGTGTAAAACTGCAAGAGTTTGGGATCAACCTATGAAGTGGCAGATGTTCAGGGATCTGAGCCCTGTTATCTTAACCAGCATTGCTTGTACCCAGTCCTTACTGCTTCCCCAGCACCGAGGACAGGTGAAAGTGAGGGGAAGTGTCAGCCCTGCCCTGCCCAAGGGGTCCCAGAGTCCCCTGGGCTGCAAAAGAAATGAGTGCTCCCTGTCCTCTTCTGGCCCTGGCTGGAGACACCTGTTCTGTCCCCCCAGCACTGAATGTTGCTTCAAAATCCTGGCTCCGTGATCATTTCCTTCCAGCAGGAGCTCAGGGATATCATTTTGCTCATGTGCATGTTGTGAAGAGGTGTGAGCCTCTCTGGGGACAACCACAGACGATTTCCCCACCACACCTGGGTCCACTGCCCTGTTCAAGCCCCAGCCTCTGACTCCATTCACCACCTGGTTACAAAGAGACTCCCTATGAAAATGTAACCCTATAAACTCAGCTTTCCCCATGCACAAGCATTATCCAGCACAACCCACGGTGCTCTGTGGCCAGTGCCGGAGAGACAATGCAAGGAACACCATCACCAAAGTGGTGCCCACAGTCAAGTGCTTGTCGGGGGCGAGTGGTTCCATTGCAAGAGGTGTGTTGGAGGAGAGGAAACATCCTCCTGGGAGCACTGGCTTTATGTTTCCTTGCTTTCGAGGTTAAGGCTTTCAGCAGTAGCAGCTGTCTGCACGCAGCAGGGCGGGTTTGTGTACAGAGTCCTCACACAGACAGCGGCAAAGCCACCGCTTCTTTTTCCAAGGCTTTGTAACAGGCTGCTAAGCCAGAGATCCCTGCCAGGACCTGCACAAGGGGAGAAAACCCCCACTCTTTAACTAAAAAACTGCACTTTATTTATTTAAAATGTTGTCCTACAGAGTGCTCTTTTGGAGGACTTCACACACCAGCCCTGTACACAACAGTGAGAACCCCTCAGTTCATCCACAGAGCTCGGCATGGACAGATCTGCAGCGGAGCAAGGGCTTTCCCTGATCTTCAGGGTTGCTGTGCTTCCCCATAACTTCATCCCCAGCGTAAGGCTGCACAGGAGTAACTAGGAAGAGCATTGCCTGCCATGCCACAGAGACTCCAAGTGAACTCGCCCTGATGAAGACCAGGAATATTTGCTTCCTGTGCTAATTAAGCAAAACCCAGCATAACCTTGCAGCTCCTTCTCTGTGTTTAGGTTTGGTGTTTTACTTTCTACAGACTTTGAGTCCAGAGCCTGCGGCCAGAGGAAGAAGGCACAAACGGGTGGACTTCAGAAGCAGCAGCGGGTTTTCATCAGACTCCCAAGGAAGCCACACTGCACACACATGTAGGGGAGACGTGCTGCTTCTTCCACGGCAGGAAAACCCCAGCCACAAGCAGAAGAGCTGCTGCGTCCATCACACTGGAGTGATGATGGTGGGTCTGCCACATCACTGCTGCACTGATGGCCACAAGCTGTGGTTTATTCTGTAGGCAAGTTCATCCCATTGGGCTAGAAGAGCAGCATCCTCCTTGCATGCTCACCCCTCAGAGCTGTGTGTGGTGTCAGCATCCCTACGTCCCAGCATCCTGTGGCTCATCATCCCTTTGATGTCCCAATAAACATCACACCCAGGCAGACTCTCCCCTCCCAAAGTGCTGAGGCACAGCAACATATGCTTCAGCACATGGAGCCCTTGATGGTCCAACCAGCTGTGTGGGGAGATATTCCTGCCCCTGGGAACCCAAAGGGGTGGACACGTGAAGCAGTCACTGCTACCAGCTTGTAAAGGTGAGCCAGTCCACCAGGTTTTGGCTGACAATTCTCTCCACTTCCACATGGAAATGCTCAGCTTTAAGTGTGCAATCAGAGGCCACACCAGCTGAACCAGTGCAGAACCAAGCAACACTCTGGTTTGACCTTGATTACCCACGTCTCACAGTGATGTATTTTTACACCAACACTTTTTCCCCTGAGGCCCCTTCCACATCTGGCTCTGCAGTCTGGCCAAGATTTGCACCACAGCCTTGTCCTTGCCATACTACATCCATGGAGATGTGCTGGTTAGAAGAGCAGAAGTAATGCTGTGATGCATCCACCTCTCCCACATCAATTCCACAACAGGGTGGACAAGCTGGCAATGAACCCTGTGACAACGTCCCACACAAGCAGCTCCAACCGTGCAGTCCTGCCTGCAAACAATGGGAACTACAGTGCCTCACCAAGGAAAAGGAGTGAGGTGCTCACAACCAGCAAGCAGGTGTTAGAAAGGGGTAACAAAGTACTTGGGATAGAAACAGATTGGAATCAGCTGAGAAATTGAGGTAGGACTTGAAATGACAACAAGCTGTGGACAATCTTGTGTTTTCACACAGTTTCTCAGCTTTACATTTTCTCACTCTTCAACGAGCAGTGACCAGCTCACCAGTTAACCAGTTAAGGTGATAATGGAGGGTCATCTCTCTCCAGCTGGGCTCCTGCATCTGCTGCTCACTCTGCTGCCCTGTGCTCCCAGGCCTCATTCATCCACCTGTAAAGAGGCCATGAATTTTATTTTGGGGATCATAGTAGTTGTCATAGGGGGTACCTTGGCCCCCTGTTTCTCCTGACCCCACTGCAGGTGGTGCCACACACTTTGGATGAGGTGCTGGATAGCTTTTACTGTTTCTCACTACTTATCTGGGACAACAGCTGAGCACTGGCACTTGTCCTAGGGCAGAGAGAACACTCCCATGCCACTTCCAGCATTTCTGAGGTATGGGGAAGGGAAGGGAGAAATTCCTCTGCTTGCCACTGGTGCCAACTTTTCTTCCTCCTGTCCTTGCCCAGGAGGCCCCACATCTCCCTGGCCTGTGCCAGCCAGCACTGCTCTGCTGCTCTCCTCCATCCTCCATCCATTCCAGCTGCTCTTGCCTCATGCCCTTAGTCTTTCTGGTTAATTATTCTGGACTGGGATTTGCAATGCTGGCTGGGAAGAGGCCACCAACCATGGGACATGGAGGAACCCTGATTTCCAAGCAAGCAGTGAGACTAGCCGACCCCACTGTCATTGCTGAGACCACTGATGGGCATGTGCAAGCTGGGTGCTGGTGTCACTGAAGACTCTTCACAGGACCTCAGGTGAGTTTTCAGAGACCTCTCCAGCCACAGGCAGGTGAAAGCTTTAGGGCTGAGGTGCTGGTTTTTGTATGGATTGTCATCCAAACATCTGTAGATTTGTTGTAGCGATGGTGGGAAGGGATCTTGGGAGTCTCCCATCCAACATCCTGCAGGACTGTCACCAGCACCAGGTCAGGTTGGTCCTTCCTTGAAAATGCCTAAGGATGGAGCAACCCCACCTCTCCAAGTGTCCATCCCAAGGCTGCACCATCCAGCAGGGAAGGAGTCTTCCCTAACACCCAACCTAACCTTCCTAAGCCGTCACGTGTGGCTGTTGCCTCACGTAACATCATCTGCCACTATCAAGGGAAGTGTGGCTACACCATCTTTGTAACTACACCTCTAAGATATGTAACCTGTGAGGAACCCCCTTTCAACCTCTTTTTGGCCAGAGTAACCCAGCCCAGCTCTTTGCTGACCTCTCATCAGCCACTTCAGTGCTTCCCCACCTCCCAGTCCACATCTCTGCCCAGTGCAGAACCTGCCCAGCCATTCCTCCTGGCCCCACAGCCTCCTTTGGTGCATCGGTCCCCAAATAGCAGGGATGGCACTTGGCCGAGGCCAGGCTGAAGAGCAGCTCCCAATCCCTTCCATGGATTTGGTCCTTCTGTTGGTCAAATGCCACGTGGCTATACCAGCAAAGGACAGAGGGTGAAAGTCATGGCAGGAAAATCAGTACCTGAGACAACTGACATTTGAGTACCGAATGACAGGATGCAAATAGCCCCATCCTGGGAGCTGTGCAGGACTTTGGGTGGCCCAGTGGGTGCAGGGCAGAGAAGCAGTGGAATTAC